AGCCGCTCAGCCCCAGCCCCCTCCCACTGGCGTGGAGGCGCGCCTGCAGTTGTAGCACCAGGCACGCAGCCTGTTTGCAGGCTCAGCGCTCCCCCTCTCATTCATGCTGTAGCTCATTCACTCCGCGGGCTGGCAGGCTGCGGCTGGGCACCGTCACTCGCACGCACTCTGTGTGGCAGTTTATTTCTGGCCCTATGTGCGTGCATGAGTGGGGGACAGGGAGCCAGGGAGGCACTCTCCTCTTATAGAGGGTTCTTTTCATTTACAGCCCCAGCTGCTCCCAGGTCCACCACCACAGACATCTGAAGCCCTGAAGCCAGAGTTAGGCACTTTGCATGCATTATCACACGAATGTCTCATTGCCACCTTCAGAGAGAACCCCATTTTTTAGCTGAGGCTTGGATGAGTAGAAATGTTCAGAAAAGGCACCAAACCAAGCAGATAGTAAACGGCTGAGCTAGGCTGGCAACCCCAGTCCATCGGGCTGCAACACCACTCTCTGGTCACTGTACCACACAACCTGTTGCCTCTTTCCTGGACTGGGTCGCTGGGAATCCACTTGTCACCACCTTCATCTTCATCTTCACGACACTGTCATGCAATCCCAACACCTGGCTGTTGCCCCTGGAACATATGGCTTAGACGATCTGGGAGAGCCTGAAGCCCTGGGGCACTCAGATTTGTCAGCATTGATGCTGGGGGTGAGGGGACCACGGTCTATAGCACGAGCCTTTTCTGGCTTCAGTGAACATTTTCCAATCTAACCTCAGGTAAATTTCCCAAAGTTTTGCCCCATCTTTCGAAAGAGTGCTCTTAACACACACACCACCCCCACGCCAACCCCCCACATACCCCATACCTGTCAATAACATCATGAAAGGTCGCTGAATTTATCAGAAGGTCTGGATCCAAATGTTCCCACCGTCAAATGGATACCAACAGCACCCAGCTTTGCAACCCCAGGCAAACCACTTAACCTCTTTGAGCCTCAGTGGTCTCATCTATACTAAAGGAGAATAAGACGTCCCACTAGCTGGTGGGATTACCCTAGAGAGGATGGATTAAAAGCACAGTACAGACTGGGAAGCATGGTCCCCATAGCTAGTATTACTAAGCACTTTGTGTTATGGCCTATTTCAGACATGGGTCCCATCTTTGGCCCTGGCTAAGCCTGGGTCAGGAGAAATGGCAGGGGCCTGCTCTGTCTCCAGCTCCCTCTGATCTGGAAAAGATCATCTTCTTACCCAACACGGAACCTGCTTGACTCTCTTGACCCTTCTCAGAGATTTTCCTCATGATCAGTTTATCTGGCTCCAGAAGAGGCTGGCCAGCCATGTACTGCAGCCAGACCCGTGTGAGCCCCGGCGGCTGCCTCCGGGAGCCTCAGGGTTAATGTTTGTACGTCAAAGTTACGTGGAGAGAAGGGGCCACGGTGCAGATGGGGGGTGGTGGTGGTGGTGGTGATTCCAAACCTCCTTCTAAGATCTTCACCTGAGAACTGAACTAGTGAAGTTTAAAGACAGAGGGAGGTGGACGTGCCCCTGGGGAAGGTGAAGGAGCTACCTTGTGACCGACAGCAGTAGCGTGGCTGTGCTCTGCATCTTAACACAGCCAGGGATGCGGAGCTGGAGCCTGGCCATGGACCCTGCCGGGAGGGCCGGAGGCTGGCCCTCCTTCCCAAGTGTGCAGAGCCACAGGCTGTTCACACATTTCTGTTCTGCCTGCTGTTAACCCTGCTAAAGACCAGAGAGGGAGGGACAGCTGGGGTCAGAGAGGTTAAGAGATGAAGGTTGAACAGGAGAGAGGTACGAGAGTGCTGGAGGTTCTGATGCTCCCAGATGGAAGGGGTCCTTCCTAGGCAGGGAACCCCGGAACCCAGAGGACTGTCCCTGGAGTGCAGGCATTGCAGGAGAAGGGTATAGAGGCATTTTGTTCCCCTTTTCTTGCCCAGAAGTACAGAAGGTCCCCACCTGAGCCAGCCAGGAGTGATGACCAGAGGGCTCCCCAGTGGGGTCCCATCGGACCCCCATTCTCACTTATTTGCCAAGGCAGCTACAACTTATCCCAATAGCCAAGGAGTCAGGGAAGACTGGAACTGGGGCTGAAATAGATTCCCAAGTCGCTCACAAAAGTGACCCTGCCAACACCCTCTCTAGGTTTCACCTGCCTCCCACGAAGCAAGGAAACCCCTAAAGCTAAGACATGAAACAGGTTCATCTTACCCAGGGACTCGGAAGAATCGTGCTCTCGGTGCTCCTGCTCCAGCTCCTACAGGTCTGTGAGGATTAGCTGCTCCAGTGCTTTAACAATAAACCCAATTAAAGGGGAGGAATGCAGGGGTTTTCTTTCCTAGGACTGTAACCAGGCAGCCTTAAAGGGGAGTAAAAGTAGCTCTAGTGGCTTTCACCTCTCTTTTTCT